GACTACACGCCCCGTCCACGCAGCCGTGGTAATGATACCACCGCGTCTGTAACGAGGGGCGAGGATGAGTCGAGCGACTTCCAGCATCACCGACCAGACGAGTCGGTCCTGTCGGACGACGGCGGTACTCTTACTGGGAGCACACCGCGTCCGCCAGCGACCAAGTCAATGTCCTTCAAGCCGCAGTTCGCGGGGCTAGGGTCACCATACGAAGTTCTCAAGCAGGAAATGAAGAAAGAAGCCGGGTCTGGCGGTGCATCGCCGTCCCGAGGCGGTGTTGAGGACGACGAATCTGATACAGAGCTCCTTTTCCAACAACACACAGCTCGTCTGCCAGACATGTCCATGACGCCCCGATCCTCTCTACCCGGCGCATCAGCCTCCCATCCGGACGACGAGTCCGCCTTCCTCTTCTCCGGCCAGAAACACAAGCCACAGGACCCGCTCATGCACCGCGTGCTGGACAAGAACTACCGCCTCATGGCGACGCCGCTAAAGGGGAACTCTGGCGTATCTCCCATCCGGTGGCGCGTGACGGAAAAGAAGAAAGACGACGCCGCCTTGCTGAACAAAGGCAAAGAACCCGAGGCGACCAAACCGATCTGGGCCGACAGTCCCATGTCCTCTCCCGAGATCGCCATGCCCAAGCTGCGCTCCGAAGCCTTCATGTCACCTGTCCGACCGTCGGCGTACAGACATAAACTAGCAGCAGCCACGGCTGCGCCGCGGACCCCGGGCGTGAGCGTACAAACGCCTGCCACTAGCCGGAAAACTAGGGATGTTTACGCCAGGACCCCGAGAGCGGAAGACAAGGAGACGGACGAGATAACGTGGGAGAGCAGCGGCGATGAGGACGATCTGGATATCTATGCGGGCATGAGCCCGCCCAAGACGATACAGTTCGCGCTGCCGCCTTCGAAGTTGCTGCAGACACCTGGTAAGTTACTTTGCTTGAGTCTGGGATGATTGTGTCTGGGATGATTCACTGACGGGTCGACTAGCACGGGAAGCGAGCAAACGGATCGTGGAGGACATACTCATGACGGCTGGCGCTGAGCCGGACGAGGACGGGGAATACAGTCCCACCATGGTCAAGATGAACCCGAATGTGTTGGACGATACTTTTTAGTCATTGTCTACCAGACGTTGGAACGGGAATTTAGGCATTGCACGAGGAAAGCATTCGGCTAGTTGTGTCAAGTAGGAGGTATACCCCTTTTTTTCTTGCTGTGTACGCTAAAGTAGATGTTAATAAATAACATCGTTTGATAGAGAAAGTTAACCCAAAACAAAAAAAAATCTGCCAGTCCTTGTTATTCAGGCCAGAATTGAAAAATCTTGAGTAGAAACCCGGTGCGGTTCCGAACACATCATCCAAATCATCCATTATCTCGTGTGTGCACAATGCCTCTCCGACTGCTCCCTCATCATGTCCTCCGTCAATCCTAAACCTCGGCCTCCACCGTTGCAATTCTCCACACGGTCCAAGACCGTTTTGTGCCCGGGCTCACCCCTTCCCCCCCGAGCCGCGGGTCCTCCGTGAGACAGCCATGTTGGCGACAGGGCGCGGCAATGCGTCTGCAACCAAAGGCCGCAGACACCTGCTCGCTTCCACCAAAGTCAGGTCTGTCTCCTGCCATCACGCCGCTGCCACCATATCGGCGCGGCGCTGAGTTTGGTTTTACTCCTGACGTGGTCAGATCCTCAATTCGGCTTGCTTCGTGTTCCCCTCCTGGCCCTGGGGAGAGACAAAAAGGACTTCAAGCGGGAGAGCCCGCCTTAGCCGACGATATTCACCTGGTTGCGCAGAATCTTCTTCTGCATGCTCGCGGGCGCCTTCCTCTCGGCAGAGGAGGAGGAAGAAGGAGCGGAAGAGTGGTGGAACTTGTTCTTGAGCAGGCCGATGGTGCTGCCGAAGCTGGAGACGGAGGCGGCGTCGGACTCCATCTTCTTGGAGTGCTTCTTGGGCTTGGAGCTGGCGATGTGCGTGTGCTCGGCGTGGCTGGCCTCGACGATCTGAGCGGCGAGAGATCGGTCGTTGGGAAAGAAGGGGTTACCGAAGTGTGCTTCAGGGGCCATTGTTGATGGTTGATTTAGGGGGTTCTGATATGCGTTGTGTGTGATACTTGGGGGCGAGTTGGAGTGAGATGACACGATGTTGTGTCTGACTGATACTTGTAGATATAGTTCTTGCACGGTGTATACAACGTATAAGCCGGAACGTCCTTGTGATGTTGCGGTGCGGGATGTTGCTAGTGCGTGTGCCGGATGATGTCTTGTGAGACCGGGGGAAGTCGGATATCAGATCTTGATGCCTGAAAATGCGATTGTGTGTAAGTGTTGATTGGAATGCGATAGCTCTGAAGAAGGTTCTTTGCTTGTGCTTGCTTGAGGCAGATGGGTGCCTTGGGATATGCAGATTGCTTGATGCGACGTTGATGCCTTCTTCTCCTGACCGGAAAGGCAGGACTGCTGCCTTCTACTTATACAAGGAGATGAAGCGTAAGCAAAGGAACCACCAAGGCACACTTGTACCGGCCCTAAGGTAAGCATCTTGATGCTGATTTCCATGATACGGATGTCCCAACGCGTAAAGAATGAATTTCCACAATTGGTGACGCTTCAGTTTGCCAATTCAAGGACCTGATTGCTAAGGGTCAGGCATAGCCATCATTGACATGCGTATGCAGGTGAGTCATCCGGCGCTTCATTTTCAGACACATTGACGCCGCTCCAAGCCCCTTTGGGGATGGCTGGTCGGGGAAGCACGCAAACGAGGGACAATTTCCATCACCAGAACAACGAAGATTTGGCACGGATCGAAACTACACGTGTAGGCAGGCTTCACTGGTACCAAGCTAGTGGTGTGTAGACAGGAACCGGACTAGCCACCGGAGGTACGAATGCTTCAATGACGATCTCCAAGACTCGTTCATTCCCCCCCTTCGCTAAGCTTAATCCGTCCCCATCTTACGCATGACCTTACCTTAAGGTTTTGGAAGGAGGCAGTGGTCGGGTTACGTGTATTGGTAACGATGGCGGCTATCTGAGCTTGTTCGTACCTCAGGCAGGCTCAGGCAGGCTGTGTGACGCATTTTACGCACCTTACGCAGTTACGCAGTCGATTGTGATGGATTCGAAGTTTGGGTGACCGGGGGCGGGGGGGGGGGCGGGGGGGTAAGCACTTCCTGTTTGGGAGACGCAGAGCGCCCATCGATATCGTGACTGCTCTCGCCTTTTCATTGACCTTGGCATGCTCCTGCCTGAGTCACATCTGCATGACCAGAGTCACCAGCCTCTAACTTAAGCTTTGTAATACTGGTCAATTGAGCTGGGCTCGACATTGTTCAATTGAGTTGGGTTTAACACTGTTCAATTGAGTTGGGCTTAACATGATGAGCTTAGAGTATTCTATCCCCGCGATAGTTCAGAGGCATATTAGAGCCTTGCCGGCTGTGCTGTCCTCTCCAGACATCCCTAGAGTCACACTCCCGTGCTTCGGCAATATGCCCTGCCCTGTAATCAGACGAAGGATAGAGTCACCCGCTTCGCGTTAGAGTGATATTGCATCGTATTTCGGTTCGACCGTGACTACGTCGCATAGATGCCGGTCTGCCCCGACCTATGCCGTGCTGGGGTCCGTTCCACCAGGGTACGATTCGGAGCCAGCACCGGGCCCTGCTTCCGAGCACCGCCGCATTCCGCCTTACTCCTCTTATTCCAGTTCCTTATTCCAGTTTCTTTCTGATCATTACCGCTGCTTGCAACACCTGACCCCGTTGGCTTTTCGTCATTGTACCTCGTCCTGGAGTTAAGAGACATCGGCCACAGAGAGACGCTTCGCTTGTGCTTTTTGCCAAGAAGTCGTCGTAAGTCTGCTTCGTAGTGAAGCTAGTGTTCGCCCTACTTGCGCATTTGCGGGATGACCGCGTGTAATATCGAGGACTGAGCCGGTCGTGATCGCTGGTCCTCGTCATCGGCTCTTTGTCCGTGTTTCTGCGAATATGCCTACTTAGGTCTTGCGTACATTCTGGCCACCCCTTCATTTTACACTTGTCGACCGTTCAACATTTTGGAGTGAAAGACATATGTCGAGTTCTACATCCACGGTCCGCACCTCCCCAGCAATCAGCAAGCTCACCACAAGGCGACCGAGCGGCTTATACATGACGATCTAAATATACATACAACGTGCTAGGGCGAATGTCCGGGTGATGACTGTTGAAGTGGCATCTCCGTCCCGAGCTTTGTCGAGAGCACTCGAAGACAGTCGGGTATAACTTGACCTTACTCACCAGATTTGGGCATTATCAGCAGGATTATCACACAGCTTCTGAGTCGAGTTCGACCGGTGTCTACAATCCAACACTCCGGACACCCCGAGCACAAAGACGTCACGAATGCACATCACCCTCCTTGCATTACTGACCAGCCCGTAGAAGTCTTTTCGAACAGCTGTTGAGTGACACAGTGGCAATGTCTCGACTTTCCAACACTTATCCGTCAAGGTTGGCACGCCTAACGGGGCGACCGCCATACGCAGGACGCTCATGATCGAGTAGCCGATGATCAGAGGGCCAGTTTCGCATATCAGGTCATGCGACGAGCGCTTCTCTTCAGGAGCAGATCTGTCATATGCGGCGGGTTTATCATTCACAGCACAGACCGACCACGATGATTCGCTTGCTTTGGTTCGTCAAAAGCCAGGAGTTATCTTGGTCTTGGTCAAGGATCTGAAAATTGCTGGGCTCATGTTCACGTTCAGGCTGTCCGCGCTTGAATGGGAAATGTAGGCTCTGGTTCCCAACACTTCTGCTACTATGGTAAGGAGATGAAAACGTGAGTAGCTCACACTACTTGCCGTCTAGTAACAGGCCCAGAATAACCAGCGAGCAAGCAGAAAGGACATGATAGCATCGGGACTTGGGAGATAACCTGCCCGGACGATGAGCTACTTACAAAAGGGCAAAAAGGACAGGCAGATCGCCTGATTATCTCTATGACCTTAACCCGGCTCGAACGGATACCCTTTCGATGCCCCTGAACAGGTAGTCCTATCGCTGGAGTCGAACGCGCTACCATTGCGCCATAAGGCCACTTGATGAACTTGTGTCAGCTTGATCGAGGACATGTGGGCCGGGAAGGACCCACGGCAATCTAGAGTCTTGACTCGGGCGCCTGCCGGACTCCGCAGAAGAGATCGGACTCTGGGCGGTATGCCGGTAAACCTGGGCCCGGTCAAAGTAACGCGTGGGACTGTCTATAGTGCACACAGCACGCACAGCAGAAATTGCCTGCTGCTGTGATATAGGCCCGTACAGGCTGGAGTAAGAGCCTTGATCGATAGCATTACGACAAACCGATCGTTGCTCGTCGTCCACGGTGAATCGGACCATATTCCATGCATCTTGACCTCAGAGCCAGCACTTTGAGTGTAAACGTTGCAACGCGAAGTGGTGAGCACTCGCCCGAAACTTCCTTCACCCCCGGCGTCACACAAGGCTGCTCAATACCCTTGACATGATTTCATCTAGTCCAAAACGTATAGCCGCGCAGATCATATACCTCTTTAGCAGGACTTCCTACCACGTACGACCATAGGTGCTGGAAAACTACTAGTCATATTTACACATTTATAAGTCCATTACGGGGCCAATTTTCATTTTTCTGAGTACCTAACCAAAAAGGGAATACGGTATCATATAACCTGAGAATGGCGGTGTATAAAGCTCTCTAGTAAATAACGGAGGTAACATGCGTAGTTATCCGAACTTTTTGATACTGAACTGTCTTTTCGGCCTATGCCGGTCTCGAATGGCGAAGCGGCGCTCGCTCGGTGAGACAGGGTTAGGGTTGTGCTCACTGAGAGTCCTGGGCTTATGACGGAGTTTCCGTCGCTCAACTCACCTCGGGTACGGAAGTTATGGACAAACATTGCGACATGAGCGCAAGACAGGCGGTGTAGTTGCAAGCTAAAAACCATTCCGTTCTCGCCGACCTTCCTCCGTCTACCAAAAGCTTCTGCAGCGCAGGAAGGCTAGCATCTCAAGTCTGTCTACTTACGCTTGGAAAGGGGCTCGCCGTCCCTGATCTTGCGCTCGCCATACTTGACGATGCGTATAGCAGTCACGTTGATAAACCCAGTTGTGTCTTCGACGCTCCAATCCATGTCAAGAGTGTCCTGCATTTCTTATGTTAATTTTGATCCGAAGTGGTCCTCTTCAGGTACTTACCATGCTGCTCTCTTCCTTGCTGTAGAGATTGGATGTCTCGCTGGAGCGGCCAACGATGATAACGTTGCCCTTGTATGCCAGAGCTTCGACCTTGCCATCAACCTGCTTCTGGCTGATAGAGATCGCCTGCTGAACGAACTCGCGCTCAGGCGTGAAGTACATTCCCTGAAAAGATGTCAGCAATGTCTAATCCGACAGGGCTGGAAGAGAAGGGGCTACTCGCGTTGTATATACATTGCGACCAGTCATCCGAGAGACGGTCGCGAATGATGCGCACCTTGCTATCCATCACGAGACCCTGAGCAATCGTTAACTGGAGTCCTATACTGATTAAAGATAGAGAGTGTTTGGATTGGCTCATGCTCAGGTGACTCTTGACTCCCTGGATCGGTATTGTATTGCAATGGACAACGGCACAAGCCCAGAGCGCTGGTCAAGACTGCCACACGAAGGCCGGACTGCAGAAGCCATGGGCCTCAGGGACTGAGGTCCAGCTGCTTTGGCCAGAAGCCTGACCCCTTTAGGCTCTCTAGGGCTCTTGAGGCAGCCCCGCTTGTAGACGGCAAGAGGACTTCGGCCCAAGAGACGACACTGAAATCGCATCAAGGGATATCAAACACCGCAGCATGAGCCAATCCAATGCTCAAGGAGGTGACAATTTACCTCCAGGTTTTGATGCAGCTTGCGCAAAATAGTCAGGCCGGGGGTATCTGCATATAAGGTTAGAACATCCTGTCAAAGTGAATGAGCAGAACAGGTGTCGCCTGCGACGGGGCCATGATCTACGTCGCCGGCCGCGCACACCAAAACATCGATAATGCATCCGCAACCTCAAAGACGTCTCCAACAACAACGAATCATTAGAAAAACAAGGAAATAAACGCGACTGACCGTAGCAACCACGGGATTTTAATCCTGAAATAAAAAATTAGCAATCGCGTGCTGATGTTAAAGTTCCCTGAGAGTAGGCTTACCGATGAACCTCGACTCGACGATATCCTCGCGTCCAATACCTAGGACTACGTCAGTACTCGCTTGAAAGCCCTTCGGTTCGCAGTCCTACCGTTAGCACGGCCCAACTCGTTGGCCGCCTTGAAGATCTCTAAGGAGCCAGTAACGGCCTTGCCCCCAACTTCAAGCTTAACGGGAACACCCTCAGCAAAGTGGACGGTGAAGCGAGTAGGCTCATCGGGAGCGTCCAGGGGATCTTCGAAGAGGCATTAGCGCGAAATCTAGAATTGTGTAGGCTGAGTCGCCTCACCAACTGTACGCGACCACATGTCCTTTGGCGGCTCCATGTCTGGTTGCTCGAGAATCTAGCAAGTTCAGGGTCAATAGGGCGCAAAGAGAGGTGCTTCCGTAGGAGGACTTACACCGGCCTCGTATGAGCAGTGCTATCGAATCGATAGTCAGTATTACGAAGAAGCAATGGGACCTTTCATACATACAATGATGTTGTCGTCTTTAGACCAGGGGGCCTTGGGAGTGGAGCTGACGGGGATGTTCTGCTCCTCGGCGAACTTGAGAAGATCGGCACGTCCCCTGCGGAATGATTAGCTTGAATATGCAGTAGTGAACACAAAAAGGGAGGCTTACTTGAAACGGTTGAAGAACGCAGGGATGCGCCAGGGGGCCAGAATCTTCATCTTGGGGTCACATGCCTTCCACGCCAGCTCGAAGCGGACTTGGCTAGAAGAAGGAAATTAATACGGTGCAAGAGCGACAGAGGGCGACAACATATATATCGGAACCATGATCAGGACTTACTCGTTGCCCTTACCGGTGCCTAGGGTTAGAGTTACGTATTAGCGACTGGATCGAACAGTAATGAGACCAGTTGAACCACGACAACTTACATCCATGGCTGAGGATCGTGCAGTTGTTATCCTTCGCAACTTGCACCATTGCCCTAGCCAATACTGGCCGGGCTAGGCTTGTGCCGAGAAGGTCTTCGGGGCATTAGCGATATTATCGAAGAGCGTCCGAGGTGAACCATCTTACATTGTCCTTCATAGATAGCGTTGCCTGGTGCATTCCGTTAGTAAACCCGCTACATTACCAGAAACGGCCTATGAAGACTCACACTGGATGGCGGGCCACACCAAGTCGTCAATTAGCTCCTGCTGGACGTTCTCGATGATCATCTTCTCAGCGCCGAGCTTCAGCGCCTTAGCCTTGACGGCATCGAAGTCTTCCTCCTGGCCGCAGTCGCCGAGGAAACACACGACCTCATAGCCTTGAAGGACGAGCCACCTAAGAGTCATTGGTCAGCTCTTGTTAAACAATCCCACATCTTCGATGATTGTCGTCTCCACGTCGAGCTCGAAGACTTGACAGCGTCGAGGTCTTCTCCTTGACGCAATCCGTCAGAAAGCAAGACATGGGGGCGCAGTACTTGAGAATAGTGGAAGTATCCAGGCCTATCCATTGGTCAGAATATCTGATGCTGATGTTGATGATATTGCTTCTAGAGCTCTCAACTCACCGCCAGAGTAGGCACTAAACAAGGGTCAGTTATCTTGCTCGAACCAAAACAAGTAATTCAGTGGCAGATTACTTACAGACAAACACGTTCGGGAGCCATGATGAATGTTGTTCGAAGTATCGTGGACAACACAAGATGTTAATGTTGGAAGTGACTGATATATCTCGAACAAAATCCAGCTGTCGAGGTTTGTGTACGCAGGTCCGAAGACGGCCGAGGTGAGTCATGTTTGGTGGGTATGGTCACGTGTAGCCAAACGGTGCCCAGAGCTTGGTTGCTTATCTCTTATCTTTAATGCAATGGTTTGTGTCACTGGGAAGTTAAGGACCCTTCAATATCCACCTCACCAAGGTAAGAGCCTCACCTGCTAGCAGGTGTTATTGCAGGTGGACGAAACAGCTGCTCATAGTTGAATAGAGATCGCATTCACCCAGGGATCAAGGCAGAGACCAGCAGGGTCAGGTCTCCCACACTCAGAGGCAGAACCAACACATTTCAACTTCTCAAATCTTCATTCTAGTCCATCTATCTATCGCGAGCCGTGATGTTATGCCCTGAAGCATCTCTCTAGGGAGATCAGGCCACGGAAAGCGTCCAACCCCCCTCCTGGAAGCCGCACTGGAGCAATTGCGACCCCCTTCCCAGGCCTCTATCCATCGAGGTGCGGGCTGAGATGTCGCCGACTCGCAAACGGAAGCGAGCGGGCGAGGATCCCCTACGCTGATGGGGGTCACGTCTCCAAGATTACGATATCAAGGAAGGAAAGGCTCCAAGAGCCACCAACAATAAGTCGCGATCCTCAGCAAAGAGCAGGAAGAAAGCTCCACCGAGACTGGCCTTGCCACCTCAAACGGATGCACCAGCTATTGTCTATTATCTCAGTCGAGCAGGACATCGATGAGATGCTCAGTCGCCAAGATGACGAAGGTGATCTCGAAGCCAGCGACGATAGCGATGCCGATGATAGCGATGTTGATGATCAATCTGCTACCGTTGATGGCGTCCATTTCCCGGACTCCCAAAGCTTCCATATTTGGCAGCCTTTACACCAAAGTGACGGACTCATTGGAAAACTCGGGATCCCGTCCGCTCTCCTATCGATAAGCCAATAACCGACAGATCAGTACCCCGGTGGGTGACCACCGGGGAACACCTGTTGTTGTACGTCTCGTTTTGCTTTTGCGGTTGCCATCCTTTCTTGACTCGCGTAGCGGAGAGAGGGCATATCACGCCGCCGAACAGGGCCGATCTCAACAACCCCTTGTGGTGTAGTTGGATATCACGTTCGGCTGTAATGGTTCATTGTTACCGAAAGGTCACCGGCTCGATTCCGGTCGAGGGGAAATCCTTTTTTGTCCATAACGACGTGCTGGTCGTGTCACATTTTGCATCCATCTTGAATGACAACGACGATTTCTAGCACGATCCCAGTCTAGCACAGAGCAAAGAGACACTCGTCCAAAACGCTTGACTTGGACAGATACTCGGCCTGGATCCGTAGGGATTGCCAATGCTTCTTGTGCAGCCAGCGGCTGTACTCATACAAGGAGGGCAAGCGATCAGGTTGACCTTCCTGTCTTTCTCACGCCTGAGCGGAGCAGAATGACTCGCGGTGTTTACTTCGCAGTAGTATCTCAGAACATGTGGCTCAACGATCAAACCAACCGCAGCATAACCAAACCGCGGATGTCACAGGAGACAAGCTCTTCCCAGATGCCCTTGCCCACGTTCTCTGGTTGTTAAGGTGTAGAGGCCAGCAGTCCAGATTCTGACCTGACCAAAGACTTCTGGCGGCCCCGGTTCGAGTCCGGGGACGACCTGAACGTATCCCTCTCCTCTGACGTTTTTTTTTTTGCTCTGTCTTTCCTCCAACGAATGAACCGCAACGGCTGGGCGGTTGACACTCGAGCTTGGGGCGGCATGGACACTTTGGTCAAGAAGGACATGGTATGGATGGATAGATGGAGTTGTTGCGCAGGGTCAGAGTCTGACGGACACGCGGACGTGAATACGCACATAGTTCAGAGCTCGTTCTCCATGACGAGGACGGTGTGGCTGAGGCTCTGTTTTGGACTCCGGTATCACCGGCGTTCCTAGGAAGTCGTACGCATCACTGTGCAACCTATTTGATATCTTGAGCTTTCAAGATCGGTAGCAAAGTACCATATGGGAGCTAAGGCATGTGCATTCAGTGCGGGGCAGCTAATGGACCCTTGATTCAAAGTGCCGTCGCAAACGTATTCGTATTCGAGTTTCGCTGAAGAAAATCGCGAAACAGGCGGTGAGTGGCGGGGAGCTTGTTTTTGGAATTGACGAATCACATGAGCCTCGTCCCTTTCACGTTGCCCAATGGGATAGCCGGCCCTTGGCTTTTCGAGTTTGTCGAATCGATGAAGCGACGCAACCATTTCAAACCAGCGTTTCTGAGCAGATCTGTACCGGTATCTGCTTCTAGAGGAGAGCGCATTGCGCCGTGGACGGTACCTGTAGACGGTATGACGGTGGACAATGGGTTTAAACGGAAATGACACCATCGCTGTGTCTGGAATAGCTCCCGGAACGGAGGCTTGCCGATATGCCTGAGTGGCGTGTCTTATCAGTGGCCCCCAGGGCCAGGAACTCGGAAATTGTTGTCGGTGTTATTAGCTCAACAGAAATTTCGGCCCCCTGGGAAACAGCAGTTGATGATACCAAATGGTACCACTGGAACAAGAGGTGTGCTGTTTGTTGCAATACGTACGAATAACGAGTCCCTAGCATATGAAAGGGACTCTTTGGATGGCACTTGATTTGTAAATCAGCGTGAGTTTGTGGATCGAGTTGAGGTCTTTGATCTTTTGACCTGCGCGGGACGGGATAAGTCACATTCTCTGCAACTGTTAGTGAGCTGCCCCGGACCACTGTAAAATACCTACCTTACCTTACTGTGGTAAGGTTAAGGTACTTACCAAGTCACCATAACATCAGAAAAACCAACTGGGTGAACTGCACTGCTCGGCGTACCTCGACCTGGTAATTACCCAACCGCCACAGGCTACCACGACTAACAAGCAGGTACCCCGTACCCACATCTCCAATCTCCTATCCATACCGGATTCCCTCCATCTTTCTTTCCTCCATTTTTTAGACTTGCAAGTGTTCGGTTCGATAAACAACTGTCAGGCACATCTGCCTACGACCGCTCTCGCCGTTCACCTTCGGAATTTGGGTCGACGCCTTCGACGAGAGCTTCTCCTCGCTTCCTTGACGGCCTATTGCAATTTATCCCGTCGCGCCAGCACAACAATCATGGAGAATGCAACAAGCTTCACATCGCCTCTGGCGACCGTCAAGTATGCCGCCGTAAACGTCCCTTGGCAACTGGATTATGTCGTCGACGCCGTCTCCAAGGCCAGCGGCTGGCAAATTGTCTTGACCATTCTAGCGTTTCTTGTCGTCTATGACCAATGTATGTCTTTGTCCCCAGCTGTGCCAAAGAGAGGAAAAAACCCGGAAACATGACTGGACCAGGGAGGAAGGGAACCTAACAATGATCAATAACAGTCTCCTATATCTGGCACAAGGGCTCGATCGTAGGGCCGCCCATGAAGCTGCCCTTTATTGGACCATTCCTGGACTCCGTCAACCCCAAATTCGAAGAATACTACGCGAAGTGGTGCAGCGGCCCCCTCAGCTGTGTCTCTGTCTTCCACAAGTTCGTCGTTATCGCTTCCACCCGTGACATGGCCCGCAAAGTCTTCAATGCGCCCGCATATGTCAAGCCCTGCGTGGTCGACGCTGCGTACAAGCTCCTCGGAGCCGACAACTGGGTATTTCTCGATGGTAAAGCCCACGTCGACTTCCGCAAGGGCCTCAACGGCCTCTTTACGCGGAAGGCGTTGGAGGCGTATCTTCCAGGCCAGCACGAGGTATATGAGATATACTTCAAGAGGTTCGTGAAGGAGACTGAGGATGCCGGAGGCAAACCTGTTCCCTTCATGCAAATGTTCCGTGAGGTCATCACCGCCGTTTCCTGCCGTACTTTCGTCGGACACTATATTTCGGATGAGGCTGTCAAGAGGATCGCTGATCAGTACTACCTCATCACGGCTGCGATGGAACTTGTCAACTTCCCCATCATCATTCCCTTCACCAAGACCTGGTACGGCAAGAAGGCCGCCGACATGGTGCTCGCCGAGTTTGCCAAGTGTGCGGCCAAGGCCAAGGTTCGCATGAACGCTGGCGGCGATGTCACCTGTATCATGGATGGCTGGATTAAGCAGATGGTCGAGTCGAGGAGATGGCGCGAGGCCGAGGCGAACGGCACCCTGACTGAGGATATGGAGAAGCCCAACCCTTTGCTCCGCGACTTCACCGACTACGAGATCTCGCAGACCCTCTTCACCTTCCTCTTCGCCTCGCAGGATGCCACCAGCAGTGCCTCCACTTGGTTGTTCCAGGTCATGGCCCAGCGCCCCGAGATCTTGGATCGTGTCCGTGAGGAGAACCTCAAGGTCCGCAATGGCAATCCTCGTGCACACGTAAACTTGGAGCAGCTCGAATCCAGCACTTATACCCGCGCCGTCGTCCGGGAACTTCTCCGATGGCGTCCTCCTGTCATCATGGTTCCCTACCTGGTCAAGAAGGACTTCCCCATCACTCCTGACTACACCATTACCAAAGGTTAGTGTCTTTGTGTCCTGTCCAGGATGCTTTCTTCTATCAACCTGAGAGTTGAGTACTGATTGAATTCCGAATAGGTTCCATGGTCGTGCCAACGACATATATGGCTTTGAGGGATCCTGACGTATACGAGAACCCGGATGAGTTCGACCCAGAGCGGTACTACTCGGGTGACGCCGAGGTGAAGGGTGCCAAGAACTACTTGGTCTTCGGTACCGGACCCCATTATTGCCTCGGACAGCACTATGCACAGCTGAATCTTGCTCTGTTCATCGGAATGGCCTCGATGCTCCTGGACTGGAAGCACCACCCCACGCCGTTGTCGGAGGAGATCAAGGTGTTTGCATGCATTTTCCCCAAGGTGAGTCGAACTCTTCATACTGGCGTCGAACTTGGGAAGTGGCTTTGCTAATCGTGTGATGTTCTAGGACGACTGCCCGTTAACTTTCACTGAGCGGAAATCATAAAACTTATATATCAAGAAGCCAGCGGTCGCATAGCTCAATTTGAGCTCCATCATGCTCGGATCGACCAATACGCTGCACAGGAGGCTTCGCGATGCGGCACCAATCCTTCGCAGGATGCAGAAGGTGGTCGTGTCTAACTGTTTAAGCTGCTGACGGCATCCAGGCGGCGTCGTATAAATTTCCCCATTGGGTATAGAGGGCCGGCTGATTGGTGCATTCAAGCGCACATTTGCGATGGGAGCAATGCTCTCCAGGATGTTTGACGCTTGGCCGTACCGCGTTTTTGCAGAGAGTCGGAGCATTAGAGTTTCGAATGGGCTGATGGAGGCTCATTAGACAACCGTAATAATTTTAATGACTTGTACATAGCTTTTTGTTGGGCATATCTTGCCTAACACTCAATTGAAACGTTCCGAAACCTTCATAGGTCTGACAAGCGTGGAGCATTCATTATTGTCACTTCGTGTCATTCAGCTCGTCTCAGTTACCTGTTTAGCACAGAATGATCGTGACGACATGGCTGAGACCACGGCCCGATCATTGTGTGTCGCAGGCGCTGCCACTGTATACGACACAACCACTCGCTATAGAGCTCGCCAGGATTTCTAGGGTTGCTGAATTCGGCATCTTAGATTTGTCAAGGTAAGGATATGTCGCGGACTATGAGCACAATGAGCAGACGCCGTCTGTAGAGCAGCAGCTCGAAAGCACAAGTGTGAGGACGGAGGGGCGAAAATGTATTACATATGCAGGGTTAGGGTTTAGCATGGTCTTCATACGACAAGCTAGCTCGGCTTAAGGCGCCGCGGCTTTCAGACAGAACATCGCAGTAACGACATCACACTCGGGCAATCAAGATGGCCTCAAGACGAACAGTAAACCAAGTCCTACGACTCACGTCCCGGATACACCTCCAACAGCCCGCTGCGGCTGTTCGCCACCGTGGCAGTCCCATTCGTCAATCACCATTCCTCGCGAGACCATCATGGTCACAGCTCCTGCAGAGGGCCACCGTCCGCACATTCTCCCAAGCAAGCCAGGAGAGCAAGATATGGAACTTTGAAGACATCCAAAAGCTATCACAGGAGGCAAGGCCAGGTGTGACGATTATCGGTACTGCATCAACCCCCTTCCGGGCCTGTCTCGGCGCGCAAGCTAACAGTATCGTCACAGACGTGCGCGAACCCGGCGAGCTGCAACAAACAGGTCGCATCCCGCACGCCATCAATATCCCCATCAACTCTGCCCCCGACAGCTTTCATATCACGCCCGAAGAGTTTGAAGATCGGTTCGGGTTCCCCCGCCCTGCCAAGGACGCCGAGGTCGTCTTCTACTGCAAGGCCGGCGTGCGCAGCAGGGGCGCCGCCGGGATCGCGCGAGACGCCGGTTGGACCAAGGTCGGCGAGTATCCTGGAAGTTGGATGGATTGGTTCGAGCGAAATGGTAAGGTGGAGAGGTAAAACGGAATAAAAGCGAACAAATGATATCAGGTCAGAAGTTAGCTCTCAAAGACTTGCATGATGCTATGGCACGAAACCTATGTTGCAAGTCGCTAGTGATACACAGGGTAATGCTGGTATGGAAAAGACGCCCACCAGCCACCTAGCTCTAAAGAACACATAAAGGCCTTTCCCAGGGAAACAAGTCCTCCTGAATATCAGCCTCTCACGCGAAAACACCGTCAATTCCAT